CACTTCAGCCTGGGCAACAGGGTGAGACTCTGTGTTTAAAAAAAAAAAAAAAAAAAAAAAATCTTCTCTTTGGTGGGGCATGGTGGCTCACATCTGTAATCCCAGCACTCTGGAAGGCCAGGGCAGGCGGATCACTTGAGGTCAGGGGTTCAAGACCAGCCTGGCCAACATGGTGAAACCTTGTCTCTACTAAAAATACAAAAATTAGCCAGGCATGGTGGTGCACTCCTATAATCCCAGCTACTCGGGAGGCTGAGGCAGAAGAACCGCTTGAACCCAGGAGGTGGTGGTTGCAGTGAGACGAGAGTGCACCACTGCACTCCAGCCTGGGGGACAGGAGCAAGACTGTCTCAAAATAAAAATAAAAATAAATTAGCTGGGTGTGGTGGCACACACTTGTAGTCCCAGCTACTTGGGAGGCTGAGGTGGGAGGACTGCTTGATCCTGGTAGGTGGAGACTGCAGTGAGCTGAGATGGCACCACAGAACTCCAGCCTGGGTGAAGGAGCAAGAGTCCATCTCAAAAAAAAAAAAAAAAAAAAAAAAAAAAGATAATCAGTCTATATAATTCATTAAATTAAGAGATTAAAGGAGAAGTATCACCATTTCAATAGATGTAGGAAAAAAATGAAAAAATGTATCACTCACTCATGATTTAAGAAAAAGAAAACTCTGGCCGGGTAAGGTGGCTCACATTTGTAATCCCAGCACTTTGGGAGGCCAAGGTGGGCAGAAAATGTGAGGTCAGAAAGTCGAGACCAGCCTGGCCAACATGGTGAAACCCTGTGTCCACTAAACATACAAAAATTAGCTGGGCATAGTGCTGCACACCCATAGTCCCAGCGACTTGGGTGGCTGAGGCAGGGGAATTGCTTGAACCTGAGAGGCAGAGGTTGTAGTGAGCCGAGATCGTGCCACTGCACTCTAGCCTGGGTGACAGAGCAAGACTCTATCACCCCGCCAAAAAAAGAAAGAAAAAAAAAGAAAACAACAACAAAAAACCCCACACAGCTAACATCATACTTAACTGTGAAATAGTGAATATTTTTCCTTTAATATTGGGTAAGAGGCAAAGATGACTGCTCACACCCCTTCCACATTTGAAAGGAAAAGGCAAAGATGTCTTTATTCACAGGTGTCATGATTATGTATGCAAAAAATCCTAAAGAATCTTTTAAAAATCTACTAGATCTAATGCAACAGATCTGAGCAAATTCAGCAATTAGTGAATCAATGTAAAACAAATGTATCACATTTCTATATATTAGTAGCAAACAATTAGGAAGTGATTTTTTTTTTTTTTTTGGTAGAGATGGAGTCTCCCTATGTTGCCCAGGCTGGTGTCAAACTCCTGGCCTCAAGTGATTCCCCTCTAGGCTTCCAAAGTGCTAGGATTATAGGTGTGAGCCACCACACCCAGCCTAGAAAGTGAAATTTAAAATCCACTCTCATTTTTAATAACATCCAAAGCTATGAAATATTTAGCAGCAAATTCAGTGAAATACACACCACAGTGCTATTAAAAACTATAGCACATTGCTGAGAAAAATTAGAGAACACACAGAAATACATCCACAAATATACAACCAAATGATTTCTGACAAGGGCACTGATATAGTTTGGATGTTTGTCCCCTAAAAATTTCATGTTGATATGTGATCCCTAATATTGGAGGTTGGGCCTTCTGGGAAGTCATGGGGGTGGATTCCTCATCAATGGCTTGGTGATGAGTGAGTTCTTACTCTGTAAGTTCATGTGAGAGCTGGCTATTTAACAGGGTGTGACACCCTTCCCTCTCTCACCATACGACACCTGCTCCCCCTTCACCTTCCTCCATGAGTGGAAGAAGCCTGAGGCCCTCATCAGATGCAGGTGCTGCACCATGCTTCTTGTACAGCCTGCAGAACTGTGAGCCAAATAAACTGCTTTTCTTTATAAATTACGCAGTCTCAGGTATTCCTTTATAGTAACCCAAAATGGACTAACAGAGGTGCCAAAGCAATTCACTGGTGGAAAGGTTTGACTTTTAACAGACAATACAAGGACAACCAGATATCCGTATGTCAAAAGAATTGCTCCCCAATTCTTAACTAACATCATTTACAAAGAGTAATTCAAAATGTGTAACAGACTTAAATGTAAAATTTAAAAACTGTAAAACTCCTGGCTAGGCGCAGTGGCTCACGCTTGTAATCCCAGCACTTTGGGAAGCCGAGGCGGGCGAATCACAAGGTTAGGAGTTCGAGACCAGTCTGGCCAATATGGTGAAACTCTGTCTCTACTAAAAATACAAAAAATTAGCTGGGCAAGGTAGCAGGTGCCTGTAGTCCCAGCTATTCAGGAGGCTGTGGCAGGAGAATCACTTGAACCTGGGAGGCGTAGGTTGCAGTGAGCTGAGATCCTGCCACTGCACTCCAGCCTGGGCAAGAGCATGAGATTCCATCTCAAAAAACTGTAAAACTCCCAGAAGAAAAAATCTTTGCAACCTTGGGGCAGACAATGATTTCTTAGACTATTTAAAACATTAATTATAAAAGAAAAAAAAATCAAGAAGTTGGATTATCACCAAAATTTAAAATTGTTATTTGAAAAACACAATTCAGAAAATGAAAATTTGGAGGAAACTTTTCATACATACACACACACATATGAACAGACCTGTGTTCTGAATATATGAAGAATAATTACAACTGAGCAATAAGAAAATCTCATTTTAACAGATAAATTATTTGAGCAAACTAACAAAAGATATTCACATGCAGTCATGCATTAACTGTGGGAATATGTTCTGAGAAATGTGTCATTAGGTGATTTCATCACTGTGAGAACATCACAGAATGTACTTATACAAACCAAATGTTATAAGCCTACCACATACCTAGGGGCTATTGCTCCCAGGCTACAAACCTGTACAGCATGTTACATACTGAATACTGTAGGCAACTGCAACACAATGATGGTAAGTATTTGTGTATCTAAACATGTCTAAACACTGAAATGGTACAATAAAAATACACTATTACAATCTTATGTGACTACTATCGTATCTGTGGTCCATCATTGACCAAAACACCTTTATGCAGTGTACAACTATATACTAATGGCCATTAAGCATATAAAAATATATTCAACAACATTATTCATCAGGGAAACAAAAATTAAAACCACAAAGAGGTATCAGCACACCCCCATTTGATCTTGCTTAACAACCAATCTGTCAATTCAAAGTGCTGGCAACAATGAGGAACAACTGGAACCTTCATACATTGGTTGTGGGAATATAAAATGGGTATAACCACTTCAGAAAAAATTGAAACACACACAATCCAGCAATTGTATTCTTATTTACCCAAGATAAATGAATAATATGCCCAAAGACCTGTAAATGTTCTTGGTAGCTTTATTCAAAATAGCCAAAAATTAGAATACCTATTAACAGGTGAACAAACAAATTATAGTAATAATGTGCAATGGAATACCACTCAGCAACAAAAAAACTACAAATCAAGTAATTAATGAGTAAGGGGTGTCTTTATGGGGTGATGAAAAAGTTTTCAAACTAGAGAGAGCTGGTGATCTCACAACATTGTGAAAACAATAAATATCACTGAACTGTACACTTCAAAACAGTTGTTTGGGTTTGTTTAGTCAAAGTAAAAAAGAAAAAAAAAGGCTAATTGTATGTTATGTGAATTTCCCCTCAAAAACAAAAAAACTTTTGATAAAAGCAAGAGCAGGAATGAATTCTCAACTCATGATGATACACCAATATACATCCACGATAATACCTTAAATGACAAAGACTGACAACACCAAAACTGGTGAGAATGTGAGTAACTGGAACTCACATATTGCCAATGAAAGCATTAGACGGTATAACCATTTTGGAAAATGGTCTCGCAGTTTCTCATAAAACTAAACATGCTCCTACTTCATGACCTAGCAATTCCACCACTAGGTATTTAAAGCTTTTGTGTGGGCAGAGATTTTCATCTGTTTGTGAGCAAATAGTGCAAGACACATAGTAGATACTCAGTAAATATTTACCAAATGAACGTCTACTTGTTTTAGCATTGTAATAAAAAACTAGAAACAATCTAAGTATATTAATAAAAAGCTATACAGATAAAAATGTAGTATATTCATAAGACAGAATACTATATAAATAATTAAGGCTGGGCGCGGTGGCTCACGCCTGTAATCCCAGCACTTTGGGAGGCTGAGGTGGGTGGATCACCTAAATCCAGGAGTTTGAGACCAGCCTGAATAATATGGTAAAACCCCCATCTCTACTAAAAATAAGAAAATTAGCTGGGTGTGGTGGCATGTGCTTGTAGTCCCAGCTACTCGGGAGACTGAGACAGGAGAATTGCTTGAACCCAGGAGGCGGAGGTTACAGTGAGCAGAGATGGCGCCACTGCACTCCAGCCTGGGTGACAGAGCGAGACTCCGTCTCAAAACAACAACAACAACAACAACAACAAACATTTAAAACAAATATGTTAGTGGCTAGAACTATCAATATCAATCCAAATCAATTTTTAAAATAATAGAGTGAGGCCAGGCGTGGTGGCTCACACCCGTAATCCCAGTACTGTGGAAGGCAGAGGCGGGTGGATCACGAGGTCAGGAGATCGAGACCATTCCGGCTGGCACGGTGAAACCCGGTCTCTATTAAAAATACAAACAATTAGCCAGGCGTGGTGGCAGGAGCCTGTAGTCCCAGCTACTTGGGAGGCTGAGGCAGGAGAATGGCGTGAACCCGGGAGGCGGAGCTTGCAGTGAGCTGAGATCCGGCCACTGCACTCCAGCCTGGACGACAGAGCGAGGCTCCGTCTCAAAAAACCAAAATAAAATAATACTGAGTGAAAAACACAAGTGCAGGCTATATGCAATATGATGTAACTTATTTAAAATTTAAAAACACATGCAATAATAGACACATATAAAATATAATTTAAAAAATACAAAACACAGATATCAACTCATGATGTTAAGTACCTGGTTATGGATGGGTGGGATGAGACTTCAACTTTATTGGAAATATTTTATTTCCTTATCTAAAAAAATACTAGAAATACAACAAAATGTTAACAGTTGTTAATGTCAGCTGCTGTAAATATAGATATTGTGTTACTTTAGTCTATTTTTTATCTCAACTAAATTAACAAAGGAATTTAAAAACCCTAGTGTTTTATGCAAGTGAGTCAATAATGGCAAAATAACAATGAGATACATAGAAGGTGACTAACTTTTAATGGTGAATACTGGATCCAAGCACAAGTTTGAAAATTTTGATTTCCAAAAAAAAAAAAAAAAAAAAAAACACAAAACTTAAGGGATGAATGAAAAACAGACAAAATGGAACAGGGCAATAAGAATATTATTAAATAAGAAAATCTACTTCGAACAAGGAAATCTTTCCAGTTACAGATATATTTAAAACTCTTTCACATATCCCATCTGTTGTTGTTAAAGAATGTAAAAAGGATAAAATTTTAAAGGAAGCACAGTGAGTACTGAAAAAGCTAAAGTATAAAAGAAAAAATGTAAATATAGGATAACACAATTAAATCACAAAGTTTGGCAGTATAGTAGAACAAGACAGTATATTATCCATTTTATATCTAATATTTTGATATCTGGTCCTAGTTCCGTAACTGGTATAAACTTTGTTTTATATTTTTTATGATATTTATAATAAAAAATACGGCATCCTACTTTTTCCACCAGTCTCATATTTGCAGTTTTTCCTCGTTGAACTGGCTGATCTCTGAGCACCCTTCTAACTCTAAAATTAAACTGGTAATTAGAACACTGCCTTCCACATAGCTGTTTCAATGACTAGAAAAACAATCATTTTCACTATTAAATAGAGATTTCAAAGAATACTGGGTATGATAGGCACAGATAAATACTAAACGATTTAAAATTTTGGTCATATAAAAACACATACATACCATTCGGAGATGTTTACTCGGCCAGAAAATGTATAATTAACTCCTACTAAAGGTTGAGGCACCTGTGGCTATTCCATAAATACTGATGTGAAGATGATTAAAGTAATACCATCTTAACAGTACGTCGCCTGAGTCAGAACCAAATAAATCAATACATAAATACTTCTGGGAAAAATTAAAACCATGGAAAAATGTTATCTTCCCAACAATCTATTTTACAGAGACCCATAGTTTATAACAGCCTTTATGCTGTGTGCATCAAGATCATCTATTACACAAAAACTGATTCCACCCCCTCTACTGGCAACGCCCCAGCACCGCGGGTGAGTTGCCAGGATGGACTCCCGGCTTTCCCCTCTCCGTCTTCCTTAGAGCATCAGGTATCTGACCACTGACATCACCTGGGCACCTGACCAGCTGACCCGCGTTTCCAGGAGCCAGATCTGTGCCGTGGGGCCGGGTTCAAGGCCTGGGGAACAGGATCTGTGCGCGGAGCCCCTCGTGGGCCCGTGCATTCTGCAGTTCAACCCAAACCGCACATTTACTATGTTTTGTTTTTCTCCATCGGTTGCCAATTAGTTTCTAAAGAAGATATTCCCATTACAAAATAATAGCGAAATAAAAATAAGCACCACGTGAAAAAGAGGCCAGCAGGGAGGCACCTGAGGGCTGTTTGGGTGATTGGCCGCCGCCTCTACTAGGAGCGACCTCCACCGCCGAGGGAAATCACCCAAATGAGCCCCGGGCTGCCGCGCTCCTTCACTACAGCGAGCGTGGCCGGGAGGCGCCCTTCGGCCGCAGGGACCCAGTCACGCCAGAAACCGCTCCTTGAGGGTTTTGCCTGGTGGGAGGCCGGAAGAACCCCGAGCAGGGCCTCGCCTGGCAGAAGGCCGCAGGCGGCGGCCGGGGTCCCCGAGAGAACCAAGGAGGCCAGCAAGGACCCGAGAAGCCGCGCGCGCGCGCGAGTGGTCGGAGCCTCCCGCCGCGCCCCTGCCGCCCGGCGTCGCCATGGGAACCCAGGATTTGGCCTCCGGGCCTGACCGCCGCCTGAGGGGGAAGTGGGGGGCACGGGAGGCCGCAGACGCTTACCGGCGCCGCTCCTCCGCCGCCTCGGGTCGCGTTCGGCCGCGCGGAGATCCGTCCCGGCACGCGTTCCGGCCACCGCCCGCGAGCCCCGCGCCGACTCCGGGCCCTCCGGCAGCCAGTGCCCCTCCGCACCAGTGCCCCTCCGCACCAGTGCGTGGAGGTGTCAGGCTCCCGCTGCGGGAGGCGGGAGATTTAAACCGCACGGCCTGGCGTCCGCCCCACTCGGGCGCCGGCCTGACCCCGCCACCGGCCCGACGGGGACCGGCGCATCTCTCGGTCTGCTCTTGAATGAACTCGGGGACCCTCTCTATCCCTCCTTTCCCGATTTCCTCCTTACTTAATAAAGTGAGATGACAAACACCAAGCCGGTCAGAACATCCGAGGAGCTGAGTGTGAGCTCTCTGAGGCGTAGGGAAGTGGAAAGCATTGGCCCGGGGCCCTCCCGGCTCCCTCCGAGCACCCCCACCCCCGGACCTGCCGGGCCTTGTGGGGCGGCTCCTCAGCATCTAACTCCCGTGTTAAAGATTTAAAGAGGTCTTAACAACCGTTCATAACCAATCTCAAATGTATATATCCGTATCCATAATGTTTGTGATGAATCTTCAAGAGTAAAAGGTAAAACCGGATCCTGAAAGTCTCAGGAAAAAAACAAAAAGGAAGCAAAACTATTTACTACTAGTAGGAGATAATCAAACTGCATTCTTTTTAAAGGTGACTCCAAAACTTTCCTAAAACAGCAGCATATGAATTATTAATTACAACTGTGACACATAGGCTAGCAAAGAATGAAAAGGTTAACACTCGAGGTGATAACTAAAGTCTGTATGATGACAAAGATAGGGTCAGGTTCTAGAATATTAACTGTACAAAATACTCAACCTGGAAAGTATACTTTTAAAACAGGAAAAGTGGCAAGTTATAGAGGGTTAATTTGGACTGAAAACATTAAATGTCTTTAGAGTTTTACCCTGAGATATTTGGATTTCCAAGGAATAGGCAAATACCTGAAATCATGTGCAAAATTTTGTTTTTTTGAGGAAAGAGTCTACAGCTTTCCTCAGAAGGGTAAAAATTAGCGTTTGGCAAACATGAGTGATTGACGTATTTCCTTGGGATGGCTTTCCTGAATCTTACTAAATGTCGCATTTCTCCTAAGGGGTATACCGCTCTCCGGCTGTAATGATCTACCTGCCTGTCTTCCCCATTAGGTGCTGAGCTGCTTCAAAGCTGCTGTCCACCCTTATGCATTTCTGCAGCCTTAGCACCTAGCAGAGTGCCTAATACAAACTAGGTCCTGAATGAATGTTGAGTCCATCAATGAACGAACTGAAATAAAGATAGCTAATTCAAAACTGAAGGATACATTATAAAATATCTGAAAAGACCAGATTATCTTTCTCACCAAGGAATAAATAACATTGCAAGCGAAATGACTTTCAAATGTTACTATGCCCCACGGTAAAGTTCTTGGGGTATTTTAGAAAATGTTTGTTCCAACAAGATGAAGTTTTAAGTCAAGAGAACAGTAAACTAATATCTTCTTCAGCTCAATCTGAAGCCAACTAAAGTCCTCCAAAGACGACACCAGGAAGTCAGAATAGTGGCTACCGGCCGGGCCTGTTGCTTTTATTCACTTAACTGGGTAAAATTACAGAAAGATACACAGTATCTCCAAGCCATCAATGAAGTGTAGTATTTACATATAATCACTTTTTCTTCACAAGTCACTAAGGAAAGGTGGCACAGTGTAGGAATAGTATCAGAAAATAATGTAGAGCTAGCTGCTGATGCTTCACCCGGACAGGAGTCAAGTCTCTCATATTTCATAAATGCCCATGGAATGAATTAATCTTCCTTTAGCTGTTGGATAAAATGTTTACATGGCTTGCACTAGGATGAGTGTGGTAGTTCACGCCTATAATCCTAGCACTTTGGGAGACTGAGGCGAGCGGAGCACTTGTGGTCAGGAGTTTGAGAACCGCCTGGCCAACATGGTGAAACCCTGTTTCTACTAAAAATTCAAAAATTAGCCCCATGTAATGGCATGCACCTGTAATCCCAGCTGGGAGGCTGAGGCACGAGAATTGCTTGAACCCAGGAGGCGGAAGTTGTGAGCCGAGATTGCGCCACTACACTCCAGCCTGGGCGACAGAGTGAGACTCTTACTTGCACTAGTCCCTTAACAAAAGGAGGCAGCTCAGTCATTACATTTTAGTGTTGCATAAAACCTCTTTAGAAAGTGAAATAATTTAACACCTTTAACATACTTTTAAATTTCACGTAGAAGCACATTTATTGAACTTTTATTTAACTTTCTATCAACATATAATACATTTATACTAAGAAAAAAAAGGGTTTTCCTCCATGGTAGACTTTTACAAGCTAACTAGACAAGAACATTAGATGACTTGGAATGTGGGGCTCCACAAATGGGATCCAAACCTAGAGTCTTAGTTTCTTTAAAGACTAATAGTCTTCACTTTTATTTTTCTGCAAACCTCTGGTTAATCTCCCAAATAAAACCTCGGTTGACATTAGAAAACACTAAAAATTATTCTACTGTTTTGTACTGTTTTACTAAGGATTAGAGGTGTATTGAATCTGACATCATACAAAAAACTCTATTTCTTCAAGGCATTGCACCAGTTTCTTTGTAATCTGTTGAATTTTACCGAAGACGTCAGGACAAGCATTACAGGTCAGTGACAGTGGGGCTATGGAGAGCTATCTTCCCAGATACCTACACAAGTAATTACTTAGATACTGCAAGCTAAACATGCTGTCTCTTCCCTACTACATTTCTGTTTATTCAAGTAAAGCTAGGCACAGTATTAGAATTAGACACAATTCTAGAATTAGACTTATTAAGATGATTTTAAATGTGAAATGTTATAGACATCGTTTTAAAAATTATTTCCTCCCCCTGAAACAACCATTGAACTTGATCTGGTATGTCTCAGGCACGTTATTACACTTTCACTGACTACATAGAATTGTTTGACATGTTTCTAAACTTTGTATCAGATTGTACCTAACCAGATAATTTCTCTGTAGTCTTTATTACTCAGATGTATGTCGCCCAGCTCCATTAATTGGATACATACCTTCACACTAGGTACTTAACCTGTCTGGATTGTGGTTTCCCTTTAAATAACATGAATGACATAATTGGATAATTTCTAGAATTCGTTTTTGCTTATATACAATTCCTATTTAGAATATACAGAAATTGATCTTTAAAGTATACATTTATATACTATTACAATGATACATTTAGTGGTACACTAAAATTGAAATTAATTTTAAAGGCAAAAAAATGCAAAGCTGAACATATTATGGTAATTTAGTACCCATTAATGTCACTTAAATTTACGTTTTGTTTTCTTTTTTTTTGAGATGGAGTTTCGCTCTTGTTACCCAGGCTGGAGTACAATGCGCCATTTTGGCTCACCACAACCTCCGCCTCCCGGGTTCAAGCAATTCTTCTGCCTCAGTCTCCCAAGTAGCTGGGATTACAGGTATGCGCCACCACGCCTGGCTAATTTTGTATTTTTAGTGGAGATGGGGTTTCTCCATGTTGGTCAGGCTATTCTTGAACTCCTGACCTCAGGTGATCTGCCCGCCTCAGCCTCCCAAAGTGTTGGGATTACAGGCATGAGTCACGGCGCCCAACCACATATAACCTGTTAGGTAAATGAAGACACTTCCACACTCACTCTTTCCATTTATAAAAATATCATTCTTGTGCATGACATAAGATTGACAAAATATATACCAGTTAACAGCTTGTCCAAAATAAGTCCAAGTTCAAATCCACTGCCATTTATTTTCTGCCTGTGTGTCTGTTCAAAAACTTTAACATGTATTTTTCTCTCCTATAAAATGTAAATAATTTATTATCTATAGAGGATTTTTATGATAGGACATAATTTCATTTACTTTTATAGACACTGCAAGAAAATAATTTACTACCTTAAATCTGCAAATCAATGGAACTGCTATTAGAACAAAAATTAGGTTTAATTCTATAAAACCAACAAGCCAAAAATGTTTCTCTTCTAAGTTATAAGATAAATTTGGTTCAGGTTGGATGCAGTAGCTCATGCCTGTAATCCTAGCACTTTGGGAAGTCAAGATGAGATGATTGCTTGAGGTCAGGAGTTGGAGTCCAGCCTGGGCAACATAGCAAGACCCCATCTCCACAAAAACAAAAAAAATTAGCTGGGTGTGGTGGCATGCACTTGTACTCCCAGGTACATACTCATGAAGCTGGGGCAGGAGGATCCCTTGAACCCAGGAGTTGAGCCTGGATGGGAGAGCTAGACTATGTCTCGTAAAAAGAGATATATTTGGTTCATATAACAAAATACCATTATTGTGTTTGATACTTAATCTATGATAGTCAAAAATGTCAACAATGAAGTGACTAAAATGTTCCTGCTGTTTCTACACCTGATAGTTTCTGGCTAGTAATATCTGGATTTCATTTGCCTAATGAAATCTGATTCTAAGTAGTGGCTTTTTAAATAAAAAATATACTAATTGAATATCCCTTGCATAGAGTCTTAAAATGTCCTATTTTTTCCTTTAAGAATAGGAGCCATAATAGTATCTATTAAAAATTAGTATTTTTGGCCAGGCACAGTGACTTGCCTATAATCCCAGCACTTAAGGAGGCTGAGGCACGAAGACTGCCTGAGGCCAAGAGTTCTTGACCAGCCTGGGCAACACAGCGAGACCGTCTTCACAAAAAATTTTAAAATCAGCCAGATGTGGTGACATGCGCCTGTGGTCCTAGTTAGGAGGAAGACGTGGGAGATCCCTTGAGTCCAGGAGTTTGAGGCTGCAGTGA